ATAAAATGTACACTAACAATAAGCTAGTCTTAAGACAACTTCAGTATAAAATGTACACTAACAATAAGCTAGTCTTAAGACAACTTCAGTATAAAATGTATACTAACAATAAACTAGTCTTAAGACAACTTCGGTATAAAATGTATACTAACAATAAGCTAATCTTAAGACAACTTCGGTATAAAATGTATACTAACAATAAGCTAATCTTAAGACAACTTCGGTATAAAATGTATACTAACAATAAGCTAATCTTAAGACAACTTCAGTATAAAATGTATACTAACAATAAGCTAGTCTTAAGACAACTTCGGTATAAAATGTATACTAACAATAAGCTAATCTTAAGACAACTTCGGTATAAAATGTATACTAACAATAAGCTAATCTTAAGACAACTTCGGTATAAAATGTATACTAACAATAAGCTAGTCTGAAGACAATTGAGAAATTAGGTACGTTTTAACAGAATAATCCTCCAGTGGCTGAGCGTCAGGGCTTATAACACTAAATTTCTGAGTTCGATCCCCGCGTCATATATATATATTATATATAGCCCAAACAGACCTTATAAAACACTCGGGAAAATATCGTGATATTTATGCAGTTACTTGTCAGTTACTTTTCGATATTTAAACAAAACAGTACTTTTCAATATAGCACATGGTAAGGTATCAAAACTTCCTTTCATTGTTTCAAATATCAATGAGGTTATTTCTGTTACAATTATCACATGTTTACGTCGTTTAAAGTTCTCCAAGTAATAGCTTTGCCTGACGGAACATGTTTACTAAAATACTGTAGTTTTGTAAATCTCTGTGTCAAAATATGAAGACTTCTGTTAGTTCAATAAACGGTAAGCCTTAAGTTGGGACATTGAAAACGTTCTGGTGTTGTAACGTCCTTTAATTTATAATGTACATTGTGTCTTAATTTTCTTGTAAACTTATCTATTTTAATAAAAAAAATACACAGATATTTTAACCTTACACGGTAGTGTGATACACCACCGAAGTTCAGGGTAGCAGAGAGAGAAAAAAGGATAATTTTCTAATTTGTACAATTTATGGTTTGGACTCCACCTGGCGACTCTTTGATGATTTTTATGGTATTTTCTTTGTTGGTTTTTTTTAGTGTTCTGGTTCCGCGGCTAAAACCTGAACTAAAAGCTTTACGAGTTAAGTTTGTAAAGTTTCGTGTAAAGCTACTCCAGGGCTAACTGCGCTAGCCGTCCTTAATTTTGGAGTGATACACTAGAGAGAAGTTCACATCATTCACCGCCAACTCTTGGTCGATTTTTTTAGCAGCGAATAGTGGGATTGACTATCACATAATAACGCCACCACGGCATACGATTAGGGAATCTTCTATTTATTAAGGTAATTAGAGAGAACTTTGTGACTTATCTGTGTAAAGTTTTAGGTTTTCTTAGCTTTTAAACAATCCGAAACCTTACATAAAGTAATGGTGTACAAATGTAACAAAATAACGCCGTACACAAAAAAATACGGACAGTTTATTGTTGTGTATTTTAGTTTTATTATAAAACATAAAATAAACAACATAAATAACTAAAAATGACTTACAGAAGTGGAAATAAAGTGCACATTACATATTTAAATAACAATTCATTCACAGCTTTAGAGAATATCTAATGTTAAATAATAGTAGTTTTTAGAAAATAGAAAAATATAGCGACCCTGGCGGTAAAAAATAAAAATAAGATAAGTTATATAAATTTGTCAGGGCATTCCAAAGAAGAAATATTATAAACACTATCTCAGTTGGTTATGTTCCACGAAAAAGTTTGTCAGTTTAATCAGTATCCATCGTAAGAATTAGGTATTTACAGATATAAACACTAGATGACGCTTTATTAGCAGACGACAACAAGCTCTTCAGCTCTATGCTGACTGGTGATTCCATCTCAGGATATTTGAAATATGTAGCAGAGAAGTCGAATCATAGTTTGTTAAAACTATTCTACGAATTAAGTTACATTAATTAAACAACTTATACGAAGAATTACCCAGTTCTACTTTTCTTCTCGCATGAATACACTACTCAACGAAGCACAACACTTTTATGATATTGTAACGTACGTTTATATATATTTATCATTACGTGTTATTGTTTGACGTTGCCTCGTCTTGCTAGTTTATCTTCTCGAGCTCAACAAATCATTTGAACGCAATAATTGTTCACAGTGACAAAAGCCACTACGTTATTATTGTCTTAATCAGTTATATATTGTTGTTTGCCAACCGGACAATATCTTAGTCTAATATTGTCTTAAACTCATCACCGCTTCGGAAAAAAATTGCTACAAAGTCTACTCAGCAAAATCTCACTGTAGATGGCGTTGATCGTACCTTCAACATGAAAGCGGGACTGTCTCTTCATAGGATTGAATTCTTTCTCTGATTCAACCACCTAATAAAACAAAAGTTTTAAGTTAGGCGTAAAAACATAAATTTAGAGGTAGTAACATTAATATTAGAATTTATAGTAAAGTTTTTATGAAATTACTTGAGCAACTTACGATGTATTTGATTTCCTAAATAATTAATGTATTTATTATTTATCTATTTATTAATTTATTTATCGCTATAGTTAAGGGATAACAATAAATATAAGATATATTTTTGTTTATAATAACTAGCTCCCAAGTTATCAGAACTAGACAGAAAACTTGCAGGCATGCACACATATAATGATAATGCAGTAAAAATACTTTTAAAATAATAACTTTTAATAGAAGCTAAAGGTGTTGATTATATTTTTGTCTTCTAGATGTTATAGTTGGATTGATTTTGATAGGAATAAGGGCGTGGCCAAAAGAAGCAAGGCAGTGTTTACATACAAGAAAGAGAGTCCGGGTTTGGCCCAACGTTTAGCGTATCGGACATTTGATTGGTATAAAGGTGTGGCCAAAAGAAGCAAGACAGTGTTTACATACAAGAAAGAGTCCGGGTTTGGCCCAACGTTTAGCTATCGGACAGGGAACCTTAGGGCCCATGGTTCGACTCTCGTTGAGTAAAATCATGTTCTACACTTTGAGGTCATGGATACGTTATAAGAGTGACAGTCAAATCCAATTATTCGATTAAAGTAATCCAAGAGTTGGTGAGGGGTGCTGTTGACTCCCTCTGGTCTATCAGTTCCAAATTAGGAACGGCTAGATGCAGATGAGTAGCCTAGCGCTAATATCCGAATCAAATGAACCTTCCAAAAAAGGACTTTACTCTGTGTAGAATTAGATGTGAAAACCTAATTTAATATTTATTTACTGATATTAGGCTAGCCAAGCTGTTTAGTTATGTTAGTCCTAAAGAAGATAAATCGGGCTATCTTAATCGTTCATGTTTTTATTGTTAATCAGACATGTTAGGCAGGCATGAAAAGGTCACAACAATAGCCAACTATATGTCTTTAGGGGTGTATCAAATTATTCTACAAATATATATATTATGTCTATGGAATGAGATTAATTATTCATAAGTGGTTTTAGCTTGATCAAAATCGACTCTGTTTATTTGAATAATAGCTGATGTACTGGTTTAACGCACTGGGAATACACAGGAATCTCGGGGATGACGTAAGGAGGAAGATCCGAATGTTGAACCACCTATGTCACTTCCAGAAGACTAAATGCCAGTTTGGTGACAATCGGTCCAGTTTTTCTCAGTTAGGAACCGGCAAAAGGCACAGAGAAATAGGAGCCCTCGGGGTGACGTAAAGAAATTAGATCTGAACTAATGTCAGTCCCCGGTGGACCTTAAGAGCACATGCCAGGTTTGGTGACAATCGGTTCAGCGGTTAGCCAGATATAAACAAATACTGATTTAGATTCCGTACTAAGTTGAAAACCTCACATCGAGCACATGAGTATTGATTCTATGCAACCTTCAAACGTAACACTCGTGGCTAATGGTCATGAGGAACACATAAGCATCATGAATGATACCATGAGCAACACATAATTAAGGCTCAGGGATAATAGCCATGAGCAACACACAATTAAGGCTCAGGGATAATAGCCATGAGCTACACATAATTAATGCTCAGGGATAATAGCCATGAGCTACACACAATTAAGACTCAGGGATAATAGCCACGAGCTACACACAATTAAGACTCAGGGATAATAGCCATAAGCTACACATAATTAAGGCTCAGGGATAATAGCCATGGGCTACACACAATTATGGCTCAGGGATAACAGCCATGGGCTACACATAATTCATGCTCAGGGATAATAGCCATGAGCTACACATAATTAAGGCTCAGGGATAATAGCCATGAGCTACACACAATTAAGGCTCAGGGATAATAGCCATGAGCTACACACAATTAAGGATCAGGGATAATAGCCATGGGCTACACACAATTATGGCTCAGGGATAATAGCCATGGGCTACACATAATTCATGCTCAGAGATAATGGTCATGAGCTACACACACTTAAGGCTCAGGGATAATAGCCATGAGCTACACATAATTAAGGCTCAGAGATAATAGCCATGAGCAACACACAATTAAGGCTCAGGGATAATAGCCATGGGCTACACATAATTAAGGCTCAGGGATAATAGCCATGAGCTACACACAATTAAGGCTCAGGGATAATAGCCATGGGCTACACATAAGGTCCACGAGATTCATGGAAAATGTTCATAAGTAACACACAAACCTCAACACAAGATAACCATGAAAACTGTAAGAATGAAAGCTACTTGTTTGAGTTAATGTGGGTTATAAACTTCCTGGTGTCAGGATGAAACAAAAACTATAAATTTCAGGCCCGAGTTTTCCAACAACAGCTGTAGACTTATAAATATTTGATGTGGATCCTTTATACATTTACTAATTAGTAGCCATCATCAAAGTATGTCTTCTTTACTGTGAAGTATAAAATATGAAATCCGATACCATAGAACAAGCCCTTGACGAGATGTTGTGATGTATTACAAACAAAAACGTCCGCCAGAGGGGGATACTTAAGAAATAGTATATTCTGTCTAACTATTTATTTCACTAAAGTGAGGTAAGGAACGAATATTTTTATGTTAATTTTTACGGTCAAATTATTTGTTTTGTTTGTTTTTTTAGTACAAAGCCACATTAGATTATATGCTGTGTCCACCGCGGGAACCGAACCTCGGATTTTAGCGTTGTAAGTACGCAAACTTAAGGTCAAAGCTTAATTTGGAGCCAAAAGGAAAATAAGATTTGACCTGACAGGTAAGATAACAAGATTTTAATAATGATATCAGATAATAATTGTAAAATGAAGGAAAATCAGTGGCTTGTTTGTGTTTTGTGTGTGTGTGTGTGCAAAGCGACACTGGACTACCTGCTATGTCCAACGCGGGGAATCGAACTCTAGATTCCAGCGATGTAAACCCATAATTTTACTGCTGATCCATCGGGGGGGGGGGGACAGGAAAATCAGTGAGGTATATTCCACGGTTGCATTTTTTTTTTATATACACTCAATCTGTCAATCAGAAGGATTAGTCTTGCATCTTTCGTCATGCCAGTCTGACGAGTTAGTAATCTGTTCTCTTAGACTATTTTAAACTCTAACTGGTCGTCTCAGTCTTTAGACCTTGCGTCTAAAAAACTGAACGATGTCCAAATCTCTGACCACTGCGGGTGTCCTCGTGGAGTGAAATTATGAACAGCCTCATTATGCTACTGTTCAAAATGTTAACTTCACCAGCAGCATCCGAAAAACAAACCAATCAACAGCACCCACTAATAATTCTTGGCTTGCTGATTGGTGGGATTTTACCGCCACTCTTGAAACGCACCCACGGTCCCAAAGAGGAGACAGTGTTCTTCGGATTCATAGTTTGGACACGTTGAGCACTAAGCCACGCCATGCCCACGTAGTTAGAATCTGCTTCTTGAAGCATTATACTAGGAAAAGTGAATCAGGAACGTAGAAATAATTCATACATACCTTATGAAAGTGGCAGGCACATTTACCTTGTACAAAGTCCTTATAACGGGCAACAGTAACGTTAAACGTGTCGATTACCTCGAAATTGTAGTGTTTCGCAAAATCTGCTAGGCCTAAATTGTGGAAAACAAGTTTTTGATGTTCTGCCTGAATAAAAGAAGAAAACAATGTAAGAAAACCCCAATAAGTTGTTAAGTATACTTTAATTTTAATATGAATTATCCCATTGCTTGATTCATTCTTATAAGCTAAAAAAAATAGAGGTACTCAGCTAGGTGAAGTGGACCTGTTTTTGAAGAAGTAGAAAAATCTAGGTATAAACGTAAAAAACGACAAATAACTGACATCCCACTGCCACTACTTACCGTATAAAGACTACTTACATTCCTCTGTCACTACTTACCGTGGAAAGGCTACTGACATCCCTCTGACATTACTGACTGCGGAAAGACTACTGACATTCCTCTGTCACTACTTACCGTGGAAAGACTACTGACATCCTTTTGCCACTACTTACCATGGTAAGGTTACTGACATCCCTCTGCCACTATTTACCATGAAAAGGCTACTGACATCCCTCTGCCACTATTTACCATGAAAAGGCTACTGACATCCCTCTGCCATTACTTACCATGGAAAGATTACTGACATCCCTCTGCCACTACTTACCATGGAAAGTTTACTGACATCCCTTTGCCACTAGTTACCATGGATAGGTGAGTAATATTCCTCTGCCACTACTTACCATGGAAAGTTTACTGACATCCCTCTGCCACTACTTACCATGGAAAGTTTACTGACATTCCTCTGCCACTACTTACCAGGGAAAGGTTACTAACGTTCCTTGCCCCTACTTACCATGGAAAGATTACTAACGTTCCTTTGCCACTACTTACCATGGAAAGTTTACTGACATTCCTCTGCCACTACTTACCAGGGAAAGGTTACTAACGTTCCTTTGCCACTACTTACCATGGAAAGTTTACTGACATTCCTCTGCCACTA